GTTAAGGTCGATAAAAGGCGAAAGTTGAAGTTTCCCGGTGAGGTGCCATGTGATGAGGCCAGAAAAAATAAGCGAAACTATCGGGAACCTAAGAAACAGATTCTCTCTCCGTGTATGATTTCAGAAGTGGACTGGTTCAGCGCTGATTTAGAAGCCGTTTGGGTGGAAATGAACACTGGCATTTCGCCAACCGAGATACAGTTGTTGTGGGGATGACCGGTGCAACAGCACGTTTGGAAAAGAAATTCAAACAATGACAGTAACAATTTCATTCCGAACAGACTCCGTTATTACTCCTTCCACATGTCGGCGGTGGGCGTGTCTGAGGTGGCTGCTGAAGTATCTTCAACGCCTTATCACGACGTTGGCGGCACGCCTCCATCCGCAAAACACCTGGTCTACTCGGATACTCCTAAGTGTGATTCCAATCTGCGAACAAGGAATCCTTTGGTATCGACGCCCCATAATCTTCAAGATCCTATAGGAATCGGCTGCCTGGCGTACTCTGAAAGGTCATTGAGTTGATATCAAATTTTCTAAGTACTCTTCATTTTCAGTGTGTTGGAAAAATTATGCGTTATTTTCGAGCACCAGGGCCTAATATGACCCTGTCACTAAACAGGGCAATAGCCCCAACGTTCGAAATGTGCTTTCTCAAGAATTTTTGCAATTTCATAACTACTACATACTCAACACATTGTGGCAAGTTTGAACGTAAACGACATTTCACAGAAACCATTTCAAAAGGAATCAAGTCTATCAAGCTCGTGATCGCAACCGATCTTAAGCCTAAATAAGATTAGATACAATAACGCATGAAAAACGAGTGATCATGGAATTGATGATGAAGCAACGACCTGAGCTTACTAGACTCACTAAATTCAACGAGTAAAATTCAACAAAACTAATTTAAAAAAAACTTATCAAGTATATTGTAATTAAGTGCACAGAAAGATGAATTATTTCGCAGCTGCTTCGATCTCTTCAAGAACTTTACTGGCTTCTTTAGTTGATGGGAATCGTATCACATACGTGCTGATCTCTTTTTCACTCGCCGGACATAGCAACTGAAAATAGCACTTTCGAGGATCCAATGAAATGGTGAACTCTTCTTCCCTTGGAGTCACAGAAATATCTTACACTTCATATTCGAGAACACTCTTGATTGCCCCTATTTATGATATGAGAGATGAGACTGTGAATCTGTTCTTTTGTGAGAAATCCTATTTTCCTCACTACCTTTTCAGCAAATCTAAGCAAATCAGACAAAAGCATCGAATGACGACATTCTCAAACTGAAAAGCTTAATTCTTCCTCCATTGAACTTATTCCAGTTATGAGCCTCACACTGTCGAAACCTGGTGTCGAACAAGATGACTAGCGCCCAACAAACTCTTCGTCACAGGCGGGATCGTGGGGGGTCCTGCTTTTGCAATGGAGAGCACCCTTCCAGTCAATTTCTTATCAATCCTATCAATCCCACGTAGGCCTTGATAGAAACTCTTCCTACTTAAGTAGTACTGACACAGATTTCCTTCTGAGTCATTTGGTTTTCTCCAGACTCAAAAGCTGAAGACATTTTATGTGTAGAGATCAACTTTTGTGACTGTAGAGGAATAAAAGAGAAGCGAAAGACGAAAAAAGAAGCAGGGTCGTAAACGAACATCAGAGCTTTCGACTTTTTGCATGATGGATACTGGCTCAAGAGCTACCACATGTCTTCGTCTGGTACTAGCTATTGCGTACTACAGAGGGATCAAAGCTAACTAGCGCGAGAAATGCGTCTGCGGTCTTACATCATTGGCCGAAGTTACTTTTGATTACGTATGCATGACAACAAGAAGTTTAACTTCCAATGATTATTTGTGGAGATAGTTGCTGATAACTGCAAAAGAAAGGCGAATGCGACAGTATAATGTGCCGCCCATTTCTAGCGCCGCCTTCAACTTATCTACGCGGTTGCCAAATGCGATCGTCAGTCATCTCTGTCACACTGCCACTTTTACACGGATACCGTCCCCCCACGGCCCCCGCAGCAGCCGCATTTCAAACTACTGTATAGTCAATCATCAGCTAACAAGCTTTGACACTGCTGGGCTACCCTGAATTCATTCTCCCTTTCGTCTGCTTTCACAGCCTTGCATAACCTGTCTTGTCATCGCGAGATTACCCTCTATCCATCGGCGAACGTTCCTCGAAATGTCACTTAATAGTACTACGTAAAACGGCCACCAGACAGATATTCTACTTGCTTTCTTTACATTGATACAAATTCTTTAATAGAACCTTTGTCAATCGAAAAATTGTTACTCCTTAAATACTATCACTAGAAACTATCGAAAACCTTCATCTATTTATACCGTTTTACAATCGCGACACTAAAGATTTCTAAAATGTATTTACAAACCTATCGCCGTTGCTGCTCGAACCAATACACTCTTCTTTCCTTCGACTTCCTTCAAGTGCAACATCCCCACACCCAACTTGGTGTACTGCTTGTCAACCAGTTTGAAGACAGAACACCTACAAAATCAAAATAGGGCAATTAATGGATTGAAAGACTAGACTTGCGGAATTTACAAAAGTCCAGTAGCTTACTTAGAGGAAAACGTAGCACCAGGTTCTTCGAACTCAACTACTTCAGCTTTTGGTGGGATGTACTCTCCTTCATCTGGAAAACAAAAGCTTCCCTTTCAAATAGTATGTGTATCATAGGACAAAATTCATAAAGAATGAAAAAGAACGGTCCATAACAAGATATTAAGAGAATCGCCACGAATTCCTAACGTTAGAAATCTACGTACCACAATCTAGTGTAACAAGCCCACTTCCCTCACAGCAAAAAATCAAAGCATGGGTGTAAATGTGGTCTCGTTAAGCGGCTATTGAGCGCGCGGTCCCAAAACATTCGTTTAAGTCGCACCTTAATCATTTGTGGCGCTGTTATAATACAAGGCAACTAAACAGCAGGTCGCGAAGATAACCTAATTTCTCCGATTGGCATCAATTCTTCGATTTCGTTGTTTTATTCGGTTGACAGCAAATTTAACTGACGGCTACATTACACGACTTTTCCATACGCTCTTAAAAAATGGTGGTCTTCTCAAAGGAAATTCTCACCATCTCCCTTCTGTCCTTCAGTGCTGGACTTTGGCAAAGAACCGAAAGAAAACTGCAGTCCTCCAGATGGTGCCGTATTTGTAGTAGTGCTTCCAAAAGATGAGAATGACAAAGCAGGCCTAAAAGTCGTCTTATTGCATCAACTCAATAATCTACATGGGCTTACAAATCAGAGATAAATTCAAAAATCAATGAAAGACAAACAAAGAACAATTCTCTAACTTTTTCTCATCCTCTTTCTTATCGTCCTTTGAACTTCCGAACGAGGGGAACGATAATGGCCTGAAAAAAAAACAAAAGTAACTCAGATGAAAATTATGTGATGTAGATGTATTAACTTTACTTTTTCTCTGAAGAGTCGCCTTCCTGCTTCGAGCCGAATGTCGAGAAAGTTAACTGCGATCTAAGCAAAACACTATGATCAAAAATCAATGACAAAATCTTTTCTTTCACAAAGTGGGAAAAATCGCATACTTTTTCTCCGAACTATCATCATCCTTTTTCGTGCCGAATGTCGGGAACGACAGCGGGGTCCCTTAAAACGTTTGATGTAGTAACATGCCTTATTTAGATAACAATGAAACTATCTATGCATAGCCAAACGGCGGGAATTTTATCTTAAATGCCCCAATAGTTACTATATTTAAGAATAGCCAAAGTACAATGGCTCGTTTTCGTACTTTCTCTAAGAGCTTTTCATAAGATCATAGACGAAGGAGAAGGTTAGATTTAGCGCCGTCTGGTTGTACTGGACTCGAATGGTGCATAAAGGATATCAAAAACAACGGATGAGTAAAAGCAAAGATTATAGAGAGCAGGAGTTGTTTTCGTGAAACTCAATTAATGAACCTCACTTCTTTTCTGAGCTGCCATCATCTTTTTTCTCCGCACCAGTGGACTCAGTTGACGCTGTTGTTCTGAAATGCAGAAAGGGTGCTCAAACGCCGACCTGACTAAAGAAACCGACAACTCTCAACATCAAATGATATATAAAAGGGGAAGAGTGAAAAGATAACAAAAAACCGCGGGAGCGAGGTTTATTAGGAACTCTGATCTACCTTAACAACACTGTGATGTAAGAAGAAAACTTACTTATCATCTTTAGATCCACCAAAAGTAAGTGGCTTCCCATTACCGAACGATACTGGAGGAACCTTCCTGTGAAAATAATACTCGCTGAACATGGAAAGCAACTTCTTATGTCAGAATTAAAAAATCCAAAATCTCAATGCAAAATGTCGTCGAAATGCAAAATATACTTTTCTTCGAAAATGAATATTGTACTAAAAATGTTTTAGCTTGAAACTCACAGAAAGTTGTTATCTGATTCTGTGGAATTTGTAACCTTTGACGAGCCAAAAGTAAACGTTGGTTTGGACGTACTCGAAAAAGGCACGTATTCCCTATATCAGAGCAGCGAACAGAAACTCAGAAAGCCGTACTGGCGTTTTATGTGCTGCGAATCTCTCGTCTGGGCTGCGAGGCCAATAAATCCGAGGGAGTTGTTGTGCGAAGAGTAGTGGTCTGGGAATACTGGCTGGAGGGGAAGCGCCGGTGGACTAGATGTATTTGAGTTCAGGAGTAATTAACGGTGTGGTGTGGTGACCATGTCATGCGTAATACAGGCTGAGCTGAAATGCCTACAAAGCGATGATGCAGTTGCGGGGGGGAGAGCGACGTTGGGTGGAGTGCGAGTGATTATACGCAGATGAGAGAGGTTAGACAAACATTTTATGAGGGGGGGGTAAAGTGGGGGTGTAAATAGTAAGTAGAAAATAGCTAGAAAAATAGTAGAAAAATGGAGCAGAGAAAGACTTATTGATTAGAAAGAAGATGGAAGATAAGGACTTCGTAGCGCGAGATAATTCAGCATATATATCTCAAACGGTTGGCGAGCTGTGGCGCACATATGGTTGCGCGCAAAACTGTCAAGCTGACTTAACTAAAATTGGAAATGACAAAATCGCCATGATCATAATCTAATGTTTCTTAGTGGGACGGTTCGATCCCACCTGAGGTGCTGAGCATCCTCGCTTGTGAAATTTTGTGATAATTTCCACTCTGTATATTTGATATCCCAGAAATGCTGATATAAAAACTGAAGGAAGTTCAACCTCACCAGGTGCATCACTCCCGCGGAATACGACCGTCTCTGCTCCTCCAGCTGGACCTCCTCCACGAATAGCTCGCTTACGGCCGCCACCGCCGCCACTACCGGTACCTTCACTTGCTGCTGACTGCTCTGTTGCCTTCAAATTCCACATAGTTTAGTGATAGAGTGATGAAACTACGATGTCATAAATTCATACCTTTGGTGTTGGAACAGTAAGGGTAACGTCCAAATTCGGCTTTATGACAGAAACATCCCTGCAGAATTGAAGAGTAAGTCAAACTCGTGACATAATCTTGACAAGTGCGACTACCTACCCGAGACTAAAACGTGGAGGAGCACCAGACGGCGTGGAAACCTTTACCGAATTATTCAATTCATCACGGTTCGCGCTTCCTTCGATTCGACGCTTTGCCTACAATGTACTTTTACAAAATGAAACTCACGAGAAGGCTGGAATAATGGTATACTGTCGTAGTGTAAACTTGTCACCTGTCATTTGCTTCAAAGATTATTAATGCCACAATATCTCATATTTTATTCGGGAGTGGCAGTAAGGTATAATCATTTATCAACAAAAGCATTGATGCAAAAAAAACTACTCTTAGGGCGCATTCATAGTCGGCGTCCGATCGTAACGATCGCACAGTTTAGATACGTATCGATCGTCGAATACTCAGGCAAGTCTGACGATCGATACGCATCTAATGCTGTGCGACCACGATTGTGACGATCGGTCGACCGACTATGGCGCCCTTAGTAACTTGGGTTTACGATGCCTCCTTTTTTGTTTTGCTCGCAGTTTTTGCAGAGCGTTAGGGAAAAAACAGAACAGACAGACAGCGTGGATACTTAAGAAAATTCTGCGAACATAGCCACAAAAACACGCACTGTAAACTCAAGCTACTGAAAGTTTTTGGATCATGTTTTTGTTGATGAACGATAGCCGTTGCCAAATACGTGTAAAAATCTTCAATGAGTAGCAGTGATCATTCTCAAGAAATAGTGAGGAGCGAGAAAAATTTAGATAAGTCCATACCTTAGCAATAACTCGTCCTGATGTTGACGTTGTAGGTGTTTCTTTCCCAGTCGTTTTCGGCACAGGCTTTCCAGAATACATTTCGTCTAACCGTTTCATATGTTCCAGATAGGATTTGACAGAATTCGACTAAACTAGTTTTGGTAATCAACAAGGGAAGCAAGATGATTCGATCATAATTTTGTGCTCGAGTGGGAAAACTGTGAATTGAAAGTTTGCCATTCATAAACAAATCGATTAGGATCCCATGCTAGTACAAAGTGAGGTGTGGTTCGCTAGGACAGAAAACAATTTTTTCGCTTTTCTTGACGCGAAACTCGCTGCAGGTACCACAGGTGCACCTCTAAACGTAGGTGGACTGGAGTTCAAGGTGCGAAAAAGCGAAAAAAAACGAAGGTGCTAAGTGGGCTAAGCTGGTGGGGGGGAACGCGGTCACACTTTCGAAAGTGGTAATTTACCTACGTCATTAGCAATTTTGGCTCTTGATTCCGTGTGAACAGATGCTAGTGTCGAAGAGCCAACCTGCTCGGCGAGTGCGCTATTGGCGAGTAGTGCAAAGCATTTAAAAGTCCCTTAGCAAGCCGAAAATGTAGGCCACTTCATTCATGTCCAAGGAAGTTACCTTCATTGGTTTGGCAAGCATGATCTTCGTTCGCGTCCCCCATTTACACACTCAAGCGAGAAAACGTCGAGTAAAGTCGTTGTTATTATAGATAGTCCTTGCATATCTGTTTGACGAAATCCATAAACATTGCAAACGATATTATGTGCATGATGCGATTTTCTCGAATTCGAGAACAACCTGCCAAGTTGCACGCAATCCGGTCATTAAGCATGGATTTTCGCACCGTGACAGGGGGAGCTGGTATCGTAGTAGGTGTTTGAAGGATGAACATAAAAACGTTGTTTACTTTTGGTCTAACTGTCATGAGCAGCTGAATCCAAAATATGTGACCCAGCAGACAAGGGTACTCTTGGAAATTCAGAGTCTGCGAGCAAAAGCACGACCTGCCTCTGCTCCCCCTCACCGTCCATAGGCTATCCACCTTCTATTGGAATGTGCTCCCTTAGAAAAAAGCATAGAGAGCGAGATGAGCATTAAGTGTAAAGTAAAGAAGGCTAGAATTTCTGATTTCGAGAGTAGCGAATGAGGCCGGGCGCAGACACCTGGTAGTCAAGTCGCGTCGCGTACGCGGCAAACCTTCCTGCTTGCACTGCAAGAGACTGTCGCTTTTGCAGAAGCCGTTCTTCCAACGACAGGACATCGATGACTGTAATCATTAAAGCATTTGCACGATGTGCTGAGGTGGATCAGTCCATCTGTTGAGGTAAAATAAGCTCTGCGCGAAGGTCACTACTCTGCTGCCTTTGCGGTACTGAAGTGTGCAGCAGTGGTACTGAAAGCCCCTTCGCCGAAACGTATAGCTCGCAAACTCCGCCTCCAGCGGCTTCGTTTGTCGTCGTCTATTCATGCTCTAATGCATGGTTTAATATGAGGGGGTTTAGAAATCAAGGGAAGCTGGTCGGCTGGTAGAGTCACTGATAGACGATGAAGAAATAGCCCACAGTTGTCCTAGACCCCAGAAATGGGACGCCTTCTTTGTCCTTTACACCGCTTTGTCCGTTGATTTCGCGCTGATGTGACTCTCATCTTTGCTGCCCTCTTCAACACTAACGCTCTCTCTGCTAAATGGCTAGAGCCAGACGACGAGGGGTCACCCAGCAGTGGGCGTGTGGGGATATGGCCCTGCTAGGCCGTCAGAAACATACCCTTCGCTGCGAAACATGCCTTGTTCAGCACTCTTAGGGAGGCTCACACGCCTTCCCACTTATATTTATTCCCTCCCGACCTCCAACCTTATCGTAGGATCCACTTATGGGAACAACCCACTAGTCGAAAAATTCCTTTCGGCGAACGCATTCTTCTCACGTTTCCAAATATTTCCACTTATACCAACGTGAAAATCGAATTCCGGTTCTGAATTGGGCACCATTTATGAGCTTCTGCAACAAAACGAAAACCTGAACTTCTCCTGATGACAAATTCATGTAAATATTCACACAGTCTATTGATCGATTGGCAGTGAAGGTATTTATATTGTTTCGTTTCCTTGAAATATTTAGAACCGATCGGGACTGGGAAGAGCATCTCCTCAGATCATTCTGCTGCCTATCATTTGCTTTCATTTGTTAGCTACTGTTTTTGCCGCAATTCGAAGTGGAAAAGCTATCACAAGGATGCTGAGCAGAAGGCAAAACTTCGCTGCCTCAGCCGGGAATGGAACCGCGGACCTCGTGTTTACTAGCCAAGAGTATTAGCGCGCCCACATTGATTTCGAGCTGAAGCAGTGTTTTGTCTATGACTTAGGACTCTTGTACCGACCTCGCTCTGAAGAAGGCCTAGGAGCGTCCTGAACTTCACATCGCAGGGTTTAGTAATTCTGGGGCTTCACAGCCAGCTGAAACTCTTCTGAATATCCTTAGGTGCAACCGTCCCTGGTTATTATACCCGTCGCTTTCCAAAAAACTATCACTCGAGCTTGAAACGCTCATGAAATCTTCCGGGACACGCCACGCATCCGTCTACTGGCCAAAATCGCAGAAGCAATGGAATGTGCGTCACTTTTATACAATGGCTTGTAGTGCTTGGCGCTCTGTCTCTACATGTTATTTTCTCCCTCGCACAAAGCTCAAAGCGTGAACCGTTTGTTGTTGATCACTTCCTTCTGGATGCGCCACGCATTCTACTTTGGTTCAGAAATTTAGTTGCACTTGAATGCTATTAACCTATGGAGACACTATTGGACGCCAATGGATGTCGAGACGTTGTTTTTATCCTCTCAGACAGGACTTTATCGCCTGTTCTCAGAGGAATAGTGGGCTCTTTAGCCTCAAGGGCGATCCCAGTTTTGATCGCCAGACCGTGCGCGTGCTTTGTGCCTCCCA